GTATGAAAAATAGATGGTCACTCCACACATGCTGCATCCCTGCCATTCAAATTAAAAGTATCTGATGAGAAAGATTACCTCGTGTGCTGCTTGCAAGGCTATCCAAGGAGCTTGGTAATGACAAGGAGAGAGAGAAATACTGTAGCATAGTGGAAGAAACTAAAATAACAACAATGTTCAGTGTCAACCAGCCAAGAGGAAAGAGAAGTATTGCACAGCTCCCTCATCATGAATTTCCAAATAGAGCATATTAACCTCCACTTGGACAGCAACATTAGAAGTTAAGACTTTGGACAATATCTGGAGTGAAACCAATCCCACACACAGAAAACTCTCACTATTTTCACTCAAAACTGTTTCATTTTCAGTGCACAAGTAATGCTGCATAAACACCGTGAAAGCCCCTATTACAGGCTCCCTCCTCTTTGGCAAAGTTTTGGTCCTACCTTAATAGTCAGAGCTGCTGGTACCACTCCAGCCTGGAGCCCTCTAATTCCAAACCTGGCTGCCATCTCAGCAGCTTCACTATCCTAGCACGCATTTTCCAGCTTACGAAAGCAGAAACAAATCATTAATTAATTAAATCTCTGACGCTGCCAATAGGCTAAAGGTTTTCAGCAGATCACCAAGCTGGAATTGCGTTTGTTGCAGACACAAGTGGCCAAGCAGGCCTTACATTAGCATAATTTCCTCAACTGATAACCAGAATTGGTCTATGTTAGCCTCTCACTAATCTGCCTGTAGGAATATATCACTTTCTAGAGTGATATATTCCTCTTCCATCCTGTATGGATTGGCTCCTTCACTTCATAATGTTAATGCACAAAAGAATATAATCTACTTTCCATTGGCTTTTCATCTACAGGTCTGAAATACTAAACAACACAAACTAAATACCTTTTAGAGCTAAATTATCTAACTACAGCAATAAATACAAAACAGCAGAACACAAACTCAAGAATTAAACACCATTAAACTACAGATAATTTTGCTATGAAATTTGAAAACAGTTTGAAGACTGAAAAGCCATTTATAAACTGCAGTGGTGTTCCAGACACCGGGAGCACTGTGGAAAGAAAAAGAAAAAGACTGGCAGATGGATCAGAGACGACCCAAAAGACCAAAAATATTCACATAAGGCACTGCAGAAAGTTTAAGGGGAGCATCATTTCCCTCCCCCTGATTTCCAAATTTTGAGCAGAAACTCAAACAGGCAGCAACTGCATCCATAAAACACAGCATGAAATATTTGTACATCCTTATGGGGATGAGAAATAGAGGGTAGGCGAAGAGTTATGGGGAAGATTTAAAAACATCTTAATTTGTGAAAGTTCAACCATCAATTAATAATAACAATGTTACAGTGCAAGAAAGATGGCAAATCTTCAATATGGTTTCTGGGATATCTGATCCTATGTAAATTTCAAAAGTAACTAAATCACAGATACATCTAAATGCAGGGCGGAATTACAGCATGTGCAAATCTGGAAAAATCTTAAGAAAATAATCTACAAAGGGGAAAAACTATCATCCTAATTGGTTCAGCTAACAAACAGCTCACTACCTCTGGGCTTTCAAAATACTTGAATTTCTAGCTTACTCTCTCCCCCTCCTGATGGTTTTCCATTTTCTTATTTAAATTGCAGTCTTCTTACTTAGAGAAATATAATAACCTAGGTTTGGGGGCGACGCACAACAAAAAACCAACCCTCCACACATTTGTTAAGATTATATTATACAGATAGCAGTAAATGCAGGAGAATGTACAAAATGAAATGACAAGAGGAGCAAATCCCATAGTATGCTGTAACAGCAACGTGATACAGTAAACATGACTGGAAGGTGAGTCTTGCTGAGTCAACATGTGATTCCAATCTTTATTTGTCCTTTCAGGAATTAAATGCAGCTGGGGCAAAGTGTAAGACAAGGCTCAGATGCATAAAAGATCTTACAAGAAGAGGGCTAGTATTTATTGATAGCTCGGTCTTTCAAAAGCTCTAGGTTTGTGCCATTGAGGGTTGGGAAAATCAGTTCTCTGTCCATAAAATATGACATTTCCAACTGCAGTGCGGTTAACAATTACACCTCAGAGGGCTGTACTTTATCTTTACTTGAATCTTACAGCAATTTTGATTATGTCATCCAAAGAATCTCCGTTTGCAAGAGGATGCAGAGCTCTATAAAACAGCAAAAATGGACTTCTTTTGAAGGTCAGTGGATCAACAGATTAATTCATTTGAGCAACTAGAGTACTTTGCCTATAAGGGGAAAAAGTGTAACAAAATGAATGTAGCACTATATTTCAGGGAGTTTCATGCATCCAGTCAGCTATGTCAAAGAACTAAGCTTGGGAGAAGTAGTAAGTACACCTTATTTCAAGCATTGCTTGCAATAACTGTTTTCTGTAGTTACATTTCTGTATTTCTGCTGCACTATAAATATCTCCATGGGAGATAAGAGAGGTGCTAGAACAACCAGATGGCACTTGCTTATATTTATAAAATCCACGTCTGGTGGTAAACTACATGAAACATGATAAAAGATTAAGAAATACCTGCACTATAGTGAGGGATAAAGGTTTAAAACTAATTTTTTTGAGGCAATATAGTAATCTCAGCTAATGCTTTAAGACATTAAGCTGGACAATGCTAGAAGTTGTCTGTAACTTGCAGAATGTTTGCCTCAAGGAAACTAGAAATGAGGTAGCTTAAGTCTCTGATTTTAGGTATATTCACATGCATATGTAACTGTTGGCATGAAAATAATAGTTCCATGATTACAGAAATACAATGTTTTTCAGAATCAAGGTTTATTCTGGACTATTTGCCTGAATTTACCAAATAAAATCTCCCTTTGTGTCTTAGTTCTGCTCCTGCAATGGCTGAAGTATTTCCTTAGCATGCTATGAGCCCACGGCAGGGGGGGTGGAACTAAATTATCTTTAAGGTGTCTTCCAGCCCAAACCGTTCTATAATTTTCTTTTTTCAGCCTCCTCTGGGACACTTGCACAGATAAACACCATTAAAAGACACAAAGAGTCCTTAGCTTCACTTCTGAAGAAAAACTACCAAAACCCAATGGCAGACCTGGCTGAAAGGATCCCAGGTCCTCATCCACTACAGAAAGACCTTTTGTCATTTACTAGCACTGCTTCCCTTTTTGAGAAGTAACTCCACGAGTATTTTTTCCTCTCAAAACCAGCAATACCTGGAATTTATTAGACTAATTGGTAATACTAATAATGCAAGTATTTACACCTCAGCCTGTTACTCCCTCCTAGTCAAGAGAACTCACGTCAGGAGAATGATCAATTTCATCAGGAACTAAAACAAATCAGGTAAACCACACCCTGAAATGCATCTTTTTCTCTATATTTACTCTAAAAAAGAGCTCTAGATGACCAACACAGCTTAACAGTGTCTACAGGCAACATCTAAAGGTAAATGAGCTATCTAACACCAGGTTTCCTGTATGCCAAACTTCCAGCTGCTGAAGTGTTACACCTTTTTCTGCAAGATCGAGGACCCCATTAAGAGACCTGCCTCCCATGAAAATATTTGTTTACTGTTACTGTCTTTAAACACAAAGACTATCCTACCAGGGTTTCTGCAGCTGTAAAAAACAATCCCATATTTCTTGCCATAAATCCATCCCAGTTTGTCAGCACACCATCTGCACTATGTACCCCAGGATTGGGTACAACCTGCTGTTAGTGGTCACATCTGTGCCAAATAGGGAAATTATACAACCTTGTAAACTTACCTGAAATTCCTCAGGAGGGATTTGGATCTTTTTTGTCTGGAGAAGACTGAAGGGGGATCTGATCAATGCCTATAAATACTTCAAGGGTGGGTGTCAGGAGGATGGGGACAGTCTTTTTTCAGTGGTGCCCAGGGACAGGAGAAAATGTAATGGGCACAAAATGGAACATCGGAAGATCCATTTCAATATGAGGAAGAACTTCTTTCCTGTGAGGGTGGCAGAGCCCTGGAAGAGGCTGCCCAGAGAGGTGGTGGAGTCTTCTTCTCCGGGGACACTCAAACCCTCCTGGACATGTTCCTGTGGGACCTGCTTTAGGTGGACCTGCTTTGGCAGGGGGTTGGACTGGATGATCTCCAGATGTCCCTTCCAGCCCCATATCATTCTGTGATTCTGTGATCTGTTCAGTTCTGTGGGAGCACATGTTTAACTACCCATCCGTTAGGATCCCAAGTCTTTCTCAGAGCTCCTGCCTCGCCGTAAAGTCCCTGTTGCTGTGAACATCTTTCATTTTCACTCCTGGATGTGTGACTTTTCCAGCAAAACGCTTCAGCTACACCTCACAGAAACACGGAGGCACTGATGTGAACGCTCCAGGCCCCAGTAAAGTTCAGCAAATGATGCCCTGTTAATGTCCTTGTTTCTTCTCCTCCTCTTCAACCCTTTCCTTGGGCTCTACAGACCCGGACTCCTCTCCTCCCTTCCTGCTGCTGTTCCCCATGTTGTGCTTTACCCACTCCTCTCCTCTAGTACAAGGAATCAAACGTTTCCCCATTTAAGAGGGATAATTTTTTCACCCTGTCTCACTGCTCCATTTCTCCTTTTCCTCCCCGCCCACCCAACGGTCCTTTCCCAAATGCCACCTGTGAACTTTCCCCCTCATTTCAAGCTCCAAAATCAGCTTAAAAACCACCTCGAGCACTTAGCTCAAAACGGCTCTTGCAAAACCCCAAGATGACCCATTTCTGACCCCAGCTCAAACCCGGCCCTCTCCTCATCAGCCACCTGCCTGCTGCGTCGCAGGGCTTTGCTTTTTTTTTTTTTTTTCCTCTAGGTTTCCACTCCCTCGGTGACACCTGCCTACCTACGGCGGCCCAAATCGCTTTAATATTTCCTGGTGGGGACAAGCCAGGCTGGGGCTGAGGAGAAGGGCCCGGGGTTTTGGAGGAGGCGGTGAGACAGGGCCGCAAAGCGGGGCGGTGAGGGGGGGTGACACAGGGCACTTTTCCGCTGCTTTCCCCTCAGGCCTCTCTCACAGGGCGGCCGGGGAAGGAGGAGGAGGAGGAAGCCGAGGCCGAGGTGGCCGCGGACCTGTCGGCCGCCGCCCTCCCGCCTCGGGGGCTGGGCTGAGGCGGGCGGTGGCGGCGGCGGCTCCGCCCCGCTGCGGGGGCCGCCCGCGCCGGTAGAGGCGGCTCCGTTGGCCGCTGTGACGCCGCCGGCGCTGGAACACCTGGAGGGGAGGAGGTGGTGGCGGCGGCGGCGCCTCCGGCTCGGCCCTCCCTTCCCCTCCGCCGCGGGCAAGGTGAGTGCGGGGAGCCGCCGGGCTCGGTGCCGGAGCCTGCTTGGGCATAAACGGGTTCCGCCGGCAGCCGGTGCCGGGCAACCCCCGGGTGGGCGCCGCCTCCCCCGCAGGCCGCCGGGCTGCGGCAGGGGGGAAGGAGGCGGCGCGGCGGCCGGGCCTGAGGCGCTGGTGGCCCTGTCAGGGCTCGGCGGCGGGTGTAGCCGGGGCCGGACCTGCCCGGAGGTGAATTTTCTGAGGCACAAGATGGCATCTACCCCCTCCTTTTTTTGGTTTTTTTTTGCCTTATGGTGTCGTTCTCCCCCCCCTACCCCCATCCTCCCTTTTCCCTTCCCTCCCTCCCTCCCGCCGTGCGTGCGGTTATCTCGCCATGATTATTGTATTTATCCCTTTCTGCCTCCCTGCCCGCCGTACATCCTCCCTGGCTCGCTGCCCGCGGGGAGCGGGGCGGATGGGGAGGGAAGCTGCCGGTTCTCCTCAGGGGTTCCGGCCCTGGCTGCCGGGCTCCGGGCTGAGGCCAGTCCCGGGGCTCCGGGGCGGCGGCGGCGGCCCTTATTTTCACCTGAGTTAAGAGGGGTTTGGGGGGGCCTCCAGAGGTAACGTGATGTCAGGTATCAAACCAGGCCCTCAGGCATTAACAGCTGGTGAAATCGGAATTTAAAAAAGAAAACACCCCCCTCTTTCCCCCCAAAACCCCAACAAACCACCCCAACTTCCCATTTAAAGCCTGTCTTTTGTAGAAGGCTGATCTGGATAATCAGATCTGACCTGCCTCCCTCCACCTGGCGATGTGGTGTCATTTGTCTCTTCTCGTCGTTTAGAAGAAGAAGGGGAGGGAAAAGGGAAAATGACTTGAAACATCAGGTCGGTTTTTCGTGAGAGGAGAGGGTGAAGGGCACTGTGCTCTCTGTTATTCCTCTGTATCGTTTGATGTATATTCAGCACGAAATGTAAATAGGTCTCCTGTTCCACGCTGTTCTGGGCAGTGCTGATAGGCTCAAGGTCCTGCATGGACCCTCTTAAAACAGTAATTCTGCTTTCTCTCAAGTCAAATTTATAATTGCAAAGCTGAATTGGGTAGTCTCAGGCGTACGTCCTTTCACCCCCTGCCCCCAGGTTACATCGTGTGGATATTTTGGAAGCTTGGAGTGGTTCTTCTGTTTGGTTGTTCTGTAGTGTTTTGCCCTTGCCTGCAAGCCTTGCTGTAAATCAAGGTGACTGTTTATTTCCAGGAAACACCTGTTTGTTGGTATATTTCATTTCCCCATGTTTCATTCTGTTATCCTCTTTCTTTCAGTTTCTGCTTGGATTTTATTTAATTTGAGTCTCAGAAAGCAGCTGTGGCTCTTGTTCCAGAGCAGACTTCTTGGAAATAAGCTGCTCTTACGTTTTGGTCCTAGCAAGGGTGGTGGTGTAAGGAAAAAAACGTGTTTGATCACTTTCCCAAAGTGTTGGGCAGAGAGAATGGTGGGCTGGGTTTTGGAGTCTGCGGTGCAGGCTGTGTTTGGGTATGGTCTTCCATCTGATTTTTCTGGTAATTTACTCTTTTCCCACTCTGTCTGCCCAGGGTTCCTAAGGAATGAATGGAAGTATCACTTGACAGTGCTATCTGCCTGGCACTGATCTAGGAGTTGCAGTTCTTAGCATGAGGTCCAGGAACATCTCATGTAGACATTAGAAATTTTTTTATACTGCTTTTTGGATAGGGTAGCCTATTGGTTTAAACTGAGTAACTTCATGATTTAAAGTTTATATTAACATCGCTGAAGAAGGAATTCAGTGTAAAGCCCACAGAGATCTTCTTTTGTGTAGTAAACTGCTATAACTGGTATAACCAGTCATGTTTTTTCCGTGGTGAGCTCTACTGGAAGATGATGTGGCAGTTAAATGCTGTGAAACCTTAGTCTAAAACAGTTTCTGAAATTTCTTAACTGTCAGAAATTCATAGGTGAAACGTTATTTCCAGAAAGGTTCAAACCACAGTGTACTCAAATGGTAGATGCTGGTAATTGGAATTTGCCACCTTCTCAATTAAAAAATAATCAAGTGCTTTTTAGGTAATGGTGGTTTCTTCCATTGTGTTTGTGGGAATTGATTCAAATATGCACGTTACCAAAGGTTGGCAGGTTCAAGAGGACTAGTTATGACTATGGAAGAGTGAACGTTTCTTGAACGTTTTTCTTTCACAAGATTATATTGCCGGGATTTGGAGGGAATCCCATAGTGCAAAGTAAATTTCTCATTGAACCCTACTACAGGGTTTTTTCCCCTTTGTAGAGTTCCAAGCCCACCAGTCTTGCCCATTCTTCTGCTATCCGTAGTCTTCATGGCTGCTAAATTGTTCTGATGAATTCCCAAGTAACCTTTTCTGGAAGAAATGAATAACAACAGCTCTTTTCACTCTTAAACTGGTGTTGAAAGCTGTTGGTACGAGTTGGCAGGAAGAAAAGGTGCCAATATCGCAGCTAAATTAAAAGTCAAGAAATGTCCTCAAAGATTCTGTTTAATGCTTTTTTTCAAAATCTTCTCTGACAGCGTTGCTCTGAAGTAGTTGATTCTTCAAGATGTTTTGCCACTTCTCAACCATAAAAATCACTCTAAAGGCAAAATTATGCCACATGATGCGGAAGCATTAAAAATACAAAAGCCTGGAGAGTGAAGAATGTTAAACAAAGACTCAAGGAGTCAGGAACTGTAGAAACATTTGACCTTTTACGTGTTGCTAGTAATAATAGTCTCACGGTAGGTTTTTCCTGTGGCTATTGTTAGCCATGGCAAGCCCAGGGGCATTTTGACCGGTTGTGCAATTGCTTACGTCAACCTCGGGAGCTGCCTGTTCTGAGTCACTGAAAAAGTGTTCACTGGGGTCTGTCTTGTGAGTAGGTCCGTAGGGATCACAGCCGCTCTAGGACCAGGCGGCTGCTGTGCCAGGAGCTGAGGAATGTCATGTAAAAGCTGAGCAGACTGTGTGTCTCTCAAAAATATACGGTCTGTATTGATCGTGGTGGCTACTCAAAAGAAGATCACCCTGTGTTGTTGCTGCTGTGCATGTTGAAACTGTTTTGTTAATCAAATCTCTTATCCATGGATGTGAAGTGATCTCCTGAGGGGATCTAGAGAAAATTATTTTCCCTTTTGTTCCCTCCCCCTGCATTGTTTCCCTTTGGGTGTAATAGTGTTCCTTCCTGGCTTCTGCATGGATGGAAGGGGAGGAGGGAGGCGGAAACTTGAGAGTGTTGACTGCGTCAGCAAATAGGGAATCTAAATGAGAGAGCCATTAGTTTGAACTTCTAAAACGTATTTGGTCATATTTATTATAGTATACACGTGAGAAGAGTTTCATGATTTTTTTTGTACATCTACTGCTTTTCTCATAAGTTCTACAAGGGGAAGGCTTCCTAAGACTAAGACTCGAGGCTGATTATGTGTACAGTGTGTCACAAAAAAACATCTTCATATTGTCTTTTATAATCTACGCACAGCAGGTGCTCCATATGGCATTTTCTTTAATAGTATTTGGCTACTAAGTTTAAAGATACTGTTTTTCAAACTAAGAGAACAAATGTGTGTTACAGAACAATTTGATAGTCATTTCAGAGACGCGAAGCAAGTCTGCATTCAGAATGAGATTAAACACTGGGTTGTGTATATCCCCAGCTTTGCTCATTTGCAGAGTGAGGTTAGACCTGCCACTCAATGATTTGTATTCAAATTGTTATTCCATAAAACGCACATAGGACTCGGGATACTTACCTGGTTCTTTTCAAAGGACATTCACTCGGTGGTCTTTACTAATACAAGTGGAAAACTAGTAGTCAAGTAAAAGATGTTACATAAAGGCAAACTACAGCTACATGCTATTCTTGTATTATTTCATAATAAGCACCTGAAAAATCGGTATAATCTGAAAAAGGAATTTAAAGTTAATTCTATCCGTCATTAAATATTTGTGTCTTTGTGTAAATGATGAAGCTTTGCATGCAAGTCAACTTATCTAGAAAGGGCTATTGTTTGCTTGTCAGTCTTCCAACTGCAAGTCTGCTGGCATTTACTTGAAATATTTTGTTCTGAGACTCTATGTACTATATTGTGACTCCATGTGCCATTCTTATCAGCGCTTTTGAGATAAACCACTGGTTTTAGGAGTTTCTCATTCTACTGTTAAAAATAAAAGAAACCATCTCGCCAAGTGTCATTTCAATGCATGTTATGCTCTAGAAAGAAGGAGGTCACCTTACACCTGTAAGTTTGACTTGAAAGGCTTTGGAATAGTTTAAGTATGTAGTACCTAATAGACACAAAACTGTTTTTTAGAGAGGAATACTAACGGTTGATTTGGTCCTTGCACTTTGTGGGAGCAAGAACAGGTTTTAAAAAAAACACGTGGTGACATAGTGCCAATATTTCCATTTTTTCCTGTTGGCTAAAACTTACCGCTTGAGTACTGAAAACCAGTGCAGTTCAGATGGATTGACACTTGTAAGTTCTAGGTGTGAGCAACACATTTTCAATTGCCCATTTGCTCTGTTTGTCTTCCACGGTCTTCTATTAACTTGTGCAGATCAGAGTTGGGAATAGAAAGCTAGAAGACTAAATGGTAGCGTGAGAAGCAGGGCCCTGGATATCATCCTCTCTAGACTACACCAGGAAATTAAGAAGAATAATTTCATGTGCTAATTGTGTACTCTGAAACATTAGAACCATGATAATTGTTTTTGGAATAAAGTAACTCTTAACAGTGCTCCCTGCAGTAGCTATCACTCACCTGCCCTGCATGGAGAGTATTAAAAGTCAGGGTGAAATTTGATGAAAGACAGGTTGTTATATACTTAATATCAATAGTATCACTCCTCATTTTCCTGGGTGTCCTCTTGGCAGCCAGGTGCCTAGGTAGTGCGATGAAATGACAGAAAGAAGACCCAAACCATCCAGATTTCTTCATACTTTGTGCGCAGTTTATAACAGTGTAAACCTTAGTCATTTAAGGTACCTACTGGTACTACTGCAGTTTGGTCTCCACACAATTTACTGGCTTGAAAAAGAAGGGAAAGGGAGTGTGATATTGGCTCCAGCTCCTTCCTTAGAAAACACACTCCGATTTCTCTGATACTTGTGCTGTTTTCAGTACATGACTGGAGTTTTTCTGTGTTTTGAGTTTTGCTTCTAATATTTCTTTTCAGTTTTTTGAAGCTGTGAAAATCGTGGAATCATAGAATGGTTTGAGTTGGAAGGAACCTTAAAGATCATCCAGTG